AACGACGAGGAGCTCAACAAGCTGCTGGGCAAGGTGACGATCGCGCAGGGCGGCGTGCTGCCCAACATCCAGGCCGTGCTGCTGCCCAAGAAGACTGAGAGCCACCACAAGGCCAAGTGAGCTTTTTCAAGTGCCTGAGGGAAAACAAAGGCTCTTTTCAGAGCCACTTACGTGATCATGAAAGAAAGTAACACTGGGCCTTAAGTGTTGGGAGCGGTTGAAGCTGGAAATAGATTTTATGTGTGGAGGCAAAACAAGGGCGTAGTGCCTAAGACAGTCAAGCTTCCTCAGGAAACATGCTGCCTGGACAATTGCAGGGTTTTGTCGCTGGGCACCCTTGTGTCTTGTGATAGTAACTTTGCCAAGGTGTAAATAAACGCCCCTACTGGCGTTCCCCCATCCGGAGAGAGGACTCCACCTGAGCCAGCTCTTGTCTCTGGTCTATCTTGTGCTCATTCCCGCCGCCGTTCCTCCCCGGGACACAGGCCAGCCAGTCCTTACAAACTGAAGCTTGGGCCTCAGTTACAGCTAAGTCTCTAGCTTTGAAGACTGGGCACTAAGGCTCATACTGCAGCAGAGCCAGGTACGTGGTTCCAAGACGATCTTGTCACCGAGTTTACAACATTGCCCCGGAAGTGATTACAGAAATGTATGCTTGAAGTCGAAATTGGGTAGCATAAAAAATTCCGTGGTTATACTGACTCTTAGAAATGCTTAGGGATGTGAGCAGGAAGCACCTGTCATACTTTTTAAGAATATATAGTGCTTGGAAGTAGTACAAACTTGGTTTTCCTAATTACTTGAAAGTAGTACTTTTTACAATGAATGGAATTGAACCCCGGATCTCACGCATGCGCGATAAGCGTCCTACCGCAGCCCTACAATCCCTCCCCTTTTCCTAACCCTCTTGAAAGGGAGGAGTCTGAGAAAGTAAAATGTACACATTTAGGCCGGACGTAGTGGTGTGGGCCTGTAATCCCAGCACTCCCGATGCTGAGGCAAGAGGAGGATCGTGGTGAGTTCCACACCAGCCTGGGCTACAAAGTGAGCTCAAGGCCAATCTGAACTGCATGGCGAGACATTGTCTCAAAAATACCAAAAAAGCAAAAACGAAAAAAAATGTGCACACTCACTAGTACATTAACGTTTTGGTGTTTTTCTTTTGGTTTTTGTAATTACAGGAATTGGGAATCCTGGCCTGCCAGTTAAGGGTCCTTAAAAATAATGAGCCAGTCGTGTGTGTGCGTTACAGCACCACTGAAATGATACCGTACAAAGCACTTTTTGTCTTTAGAATTTTATGTCATGTTTTGATATTTTCTAGTTCTGTTCTGTGACACATTATCGTGCCTGGGCCTGGTAAACCTGTTTCACACATTGTTATGATGAACGAATGAGTTAAGTATCTGTTGAGCACGCGAGGTAGGAAGGGAGCCAAGCATAGTAGTCAAAGCTGCATTGTAAGAATGACAGAGTGAATGCTGTTACCATCCCAGGAGCACTACAGATGGACTCCTCCTCCTGTGAGAAAAAGAACGACATATCCTGAAAAGCCAGAAGCCATTGAGAGTAGTGAGGTGAGGGACCCTTAATGTTCATGTCTCCAGTGGGGCATAGCAAGGTAAGTCTGCTATTTTGGTTCTTGAAGAGGACTGGAATATTTATGCCACGTACCAGCTTTGCAGTCTCAGGAAATTCAGGTGCGAGTACTTATATGTTTCCCCTCTTTTATTAAATTCTAATTCACTTATTCTTTTAAAGAGTGATTTATTTCACACTGAGACACCATGCATTAAAAATACAACATAAATAAGACAGTATCTATCACAAAGAAGCAATGTTTCGTGAAAGTACACAAAAGCATAATGTAACAATAACCAGAGGAGTTGGCACAGGGGATTCAGGGGCTGTAGACACAGAGTGACATCTGAAGATGGTAAAGCTGATTTGAGGGTCGGAGGAAATGAGAGGGCCGTGTGGGGGTACAGCAGAGAGTGCGTCTACCAGGCCCACGGCTCCACCAGGAGCAGGCAAGTGACAAGAAATCCAACACTGGCAGTAACCCGAAGGCTGCAAGAGTCAGGCCACAGGACATGTGTAGGCCACTCCTTTAGCTTTAAATACTTCTTAAATACTAATAACTTCCAGCTCCTTATGTCCATCCCACACAACATAAGTCTGAGTTTGAGACACTTATTCATCTACCTTCTACATTTCTTATAGCAAGGACAGTCAAAGCATCTATCACAGGCCAATCATCACTGTCGGTAATTCTACCTCCCACTAATCCTTGTCTTAGTACGCGGCATCACTACCCATGAGCAAATATCAGAATGATGTGGCATCATGGAGTATTCATTTCTGTGTGCCGTTATACATTAGAGCAAACTCCATCCTCAGAAGACGGAAACACGCTCAAAGTTCAGAAAACCCAGCTAGAAAATCACAGGCCTGTTGCAGTTCAGCACAGGAACTATTTTCCGAGAGAATATCCATGTACATGCAACTATACTCATTGTCCCAGAATAAATAATGCTTCATGTGATCTAAACAGAAAAGTTAATGTTGACAGTTTGGCTGCATAGTTCCTGAAAAGGGAGCCTTTTCATCCTGCAAGACTACTGATGAGTATAAACCTGAAAAATCTCCAAGTGAGCCTTCCTGTATTAAGTTTCTCAGGATGCAGTGAGGAAATATACAGTTTACACACTCCAGAACACCAATCTGTTTCACAGTTGGGCCCAACCTGGATCAGCAGGAATCCCGCCTCCCCTGTAGTCTTGTGGGCATTGCTTGTGTGTAGAATTGGGTGACTACCTTTCCAGAGGAAGTCTTATTCTGGAGAGAGGACTCTCACCTCTTTATATTGTTTAATGTGATCCCAACAGAAAGTATTAGAACATTAGTTTCATAAAATATTGAAATCATTCTAAATACCATATGTAAAAATTATGTAGGTCCCATCTGTCGAAATCATGGGGATCTTCTTTCTCATAGGCTCACAGGCAAAGGGTATGAGCAGATTGTAATGTTCTCAGCAATCATCTTATGTGATTTCAGAAAAATATGAAGACTGTAACCAATTCTGATAATAGCATATGTAAATCACCATGTGAAAAAACAAACTGCTTTTTAAAACTGCAAAAATTCTGTGATGTTTTTACTTCCCTATTTCACAAGCTGAAAATTTAAAGGCAATTTGTGCCTGACAATCTGTCTGGATTTCTTGGTACAGAGGCAACGATATGCAGACACAGCATGCGAGGGAACAGGGCGCTCAGATGAGACGGGAGGAAAAGCCATGGGCACAGCAAGGTGGAATACAGGCATGGGTGGAGGAAAGCCACTCGTGGGCCCAGGAAGCCGATGTCTGCACCCCTAGCGGGTTAGTTTCTACTTTCATTTGACATCTTCCACATGGTTGCTGTTATTCCCCCGTCCATGCATTCTCGTATTTATTTTAAAATTTTTGAGTGCTATGTTGGTAGTTGTACAAAAGTAAAATTTTCTCCTTTCATAAACCTGAATTTTAGAAGAGACAAACATTCAACAAGTGGTACAATGTGTTCTACACTGTATGGTAAAATAGTGGAGATTACAGGTGTTCTAATTAATAGACAAACCTTTGATAAGAGGACATTTACACAAAAACCAGATGTTTGTCTCATCTTCAAAGCTGCCACTGGCTTCCCTACAAGACAGCCTTACCTGTTTTTGTTTTTGAGACAGGGTCTCCCTTTGTGGTTCAGGCTGGCCTTAAACTCACTCTGGAGCCCAGGCTGGCTTGGAATTCATAGCAATGCTCCTGCCTCAACCTCCCAAATGCTGGGATTACAGTCAGGAAAGATAGCTTTGACTTTATCTAGGATAGCTCAAAGACAGAAGTATCTCACATACAGATGTCACAGGAGGAATACAGGGAAAAGTACTCTAGCTAGCTCTCCTGCAAACGATTGACAAAAAAACCGGGTCACCAACTAGAGATTCTAAGAGACCCAAATAACTATTTGATATTGACAAGACATGAAAAGAACTGTAGCTCCAGAAACAGGAAACAAATGCTTTAACCACTTCAGGTATTGGAAGCTACAACAGCATAAAGCAGTAGCTTGTCTTTTAACACTGTTTTGCAGAGGAGCAAATAGGAAGCACAGCACAAAATTCATGTTTGTACTACAATACCACAGTGAAAGAAAACCCATGTAAAACTACCCATCTGATTCTGCCTGAAAAGCGAAGGCCATTGTGAAACACTACTTAGATAAAGAACAGAGTAATGCGTACCCCGACTTGGAACAGAACTGAGAAAAGCACTCACTAACCCAGTCAAGTAAAGGGAGACGACTAGAGATTACAGCGCTTTCCAGCGTGCATGTGGGTGGCTCTGAAAAGAGCCTTTGGTGACAAAGGACGGCACGGAGTTCAGGCCCGCTCCCCGCGGATGCGGCGCGCCAGCTGGATGTCCTTGGGCATGATGGTGACGCGCTTGGCGTGGATGGCGCACAGGTTGGTGTCCTCGAACAGCCCCACCAGGTACGCCTCGCTCGCCTCCTGCAGCGCCATGACCGCCGAGCTCTGGAAGCGCAGGTCCGTCTTGAAGTCCTGCGCGATCTCGCGCACCAGCCGCTGGAACGGCAGCTTGCGGATCAGCAGCTCGGTGGACTTCTGGTAGCGCCGGATCTCGCGCAGCGCCACCGTGCCGGGCCGGTAGCGGTGCGGCTTCTTCACGCCGCCGGTAGCCGGCGCGCTCTTGCGGGCCGCCTTGGTGGCCAGCTGCTTGCGCGGGGCCTTGCCGCCGGTGGACTTGCGCGCCGTCTGCTTCGTACGAGCCATCGCTGCAGGAGCAGAGTCACCTCAACTGCGGGGAGGCGACTGGCTGCTTATTTATAGTCGGGGCCTGAAGGTGATTGGACAAAAAGCGAGGCACGGCCTACCCAACTATAACAGGATTGGTCAAGCACTTTCAAATTTTTTTTCTAAATTCTTTGATAGCTTTAGCTATTCCCGGCAAGTTTTTTTGTTGTCCTGTAATGGTTTTTATACCAGCTGAATCCTATGGAAATAAATGCAACTCAGATAAATAATTTTTTCTAGAAGCCAAAATAAGACAAAGTAAAATCAGGAAAAATTAATTTCAATATTTTGCTTAATCTAGTCTATTCTTACTAATTCACGATTCAATCAATATAAAAAGTGTTATTTACTTTCTTGGCACTCGGTCTTAGAAATTCTGTGAACTGTTTATAGCATTTTATAATTCAGACTACTAAATTCCCAGTGATCAGTAATGATTACCAAATTAAGAGTAGTTAGTACCTGCAGTGACCTTTTGCCTTCACGTAATTTTAAGAACTTTTTTTCACCAATAAAATCTTATTTGTATAAGGAATATAAAGCCTAATACTTTCATTTAAAGAAAACCCTGTACTAATTAACTTTCACTTTTAGATAATATACAACTTCCACTATTCTTTACTGCTACTCTAAAACTGCTGTTCTAAAAATTTAATTCTTATGCTAGTAGAGAATCTAGTCCAGCAATGTACAAATCAGGTTAAAAAGAGCAAATCAAAAGCAGATTAAAAGTAGAATTTATCACACTGAACTGAATGAATAGCCATCTCGACTTTATACAAGCAAATTTGCATGGATAGGATAAAAGCTTTGAAAAAAAATCGGTAAACAATGAGGAATCTCTGACAGGACAACCAAATTGATGTTCAAACTTACAATCTGAATAAAAATCCTTTTATCCTTAAATAACAATGTAAACTGTTTATCCTGATGTTAGATTAGGGCTCAGAAACCTAAATTCCAACACAAAAAAGCCTGGGCTACTTTAGAATAATCCTTGCTGGATGCTACAATTATGAGGATTTTTCACTTGCTAGAACCCAGAAAACCAACCTGCCAGATCTAAGTCTATAACTGACACACAGTTGGAAGCGTGAGACTCAGAGATAATGGGGGCTACAAAATTTCAGAGCAAAGCACAAGGAGGAAACCTACACTGTGTGCTGCTTTAAACACGAGTTTTTGCGTGCTAGGTTCTGTAAAACCAAGGAAGGTTTTATTTCTGTAAAATAAGGAAGTGGGGTGCAATGGGGGATAATAAACGTGTGCTGCGTGACTCAGGAAAGATGGGTAAATGTTCAGTTCTTTCAAGGAAGTCGGAGGTGGCTCTGAAAAGAGCCTTTTGATTCAACTGAAGACTTGAGTCTCCAGCTTCTCTGGACTTCACTTGCCCTTGGCCTTGTGATGGCTCTCGGTCTTCTTGGGCAGCAGCACGGCCTGGATGTTGGGCAGCACGCCGCCCTGCGCGATCGTCACCTTGCCCAGCAGCTTGTTGAGCTCCTCGTCGTTGCGGATGGCCAGCTGCAGGTGGCGCGGGATGATGCGCGTCTTCTTGTTGTCGCGCGCCGCGTTGCCCGCCAGCTCCAGGATCT